CTCCCAAGTAGCTGGGACTACAGGCATGCACCACCATGCCCGGCTAGTTTTTTCTATATATATTAGTTGGCCAAATTAATTTCTTTCTATTTATAGTAGAGGCAGGGTCTCGCTCTTGCTCAGGGTGGTTTCGAACTCCTGACCTTGAGCAATCCGCCTGCCTCGGCCTCCCAGAGTGCTAGGATTACAGGTGTGAGCCACCGCGCCCGGCTATTCAATAACTTTTAACCACTTCGGTACTGTGCTCACCGGCCACGAACCCTCGCCCGCAGCCGCACTCACGGGCCGCACGACGGCTTGTGCTGCGCATTGACGCGGAATCTGTCTTGTTCTTGTGTGAGGAGGAAAGCTTCAAAGCACTGAAAACTTGTTTTACTTTACAGGCAGCTTTACTTGATGTAAATCAGAATAGGGAACATAGACATATATGTTTTCATTATGTTATTTTTAAATGTTCACAATTTTATTTTGATAAATGAAAAATTAGAAGTCATATCACAGCTGTCGGCTAAAGTCAACACTTGACTGTGCGCCATCATGGCTGTCGCTAAAGTCGCTGTGGCGTTCATCTGTGGCTGTCGGCGCCCACCAGACCTTCCGGCCCCTGGCCCAGGGCCACTAGCCTCTGGTTCAGAGCCTGCAGGAGCTGCTGCATCCTCTTCCGGAATGCCTGGGGGCAGGGGGCAGGGTGGGAAGAAGGCGCTCAGGCCTGCACATCCACTTCCAAATCTAATGTCAGAGGAGGGCAGGCTCCTAGGTGCCAAATGGATGGGACCTGCCAGCCCTGAAATAGGACCCCACCCCGGGAAGCCTGGGGTTGGGACCAGGCCAGGTGGGGAGAAGGCTGCAGGGACATGGGGGAGCTGAGAAGAGCACATATTTGGGAGGGTGACAAAGTGTTGGGGGGCAGCGATCTGGGCAGCAGGGCAGAGTGGGGTGGGTGCTGCAGGACACCAGAGGAAGGGACAGAGGAGGGAGACAGGGAACAGGCCCTGTCCTGGATGACTGGCCTTTTGTTTGGCTTCGATGGGCCCATCTCCAAGGCCCAGTT